GAATTCCACACGACTGGTTTAGGATGGAGGTGAATGGCCCATTTTGTATGGTTTCAACACTGTGCTGTGACTTGTTGCTCAAAGCTGCCCCCAGGTTCTCTGGCAGAGACACAGATCTTTGGAGATCTTTCAACAAGTGGGATATTAGAGTAGGTGGAAGTCAAACCTGAGTGTCCTGTGTGATTTGGGGCTATGGAAAGCTAAGCCTCCATCCCTCCCACCCCATTCCCCAGAGTGTTTTGTGAAACATTCCCTACTTTGCCCTGCTTCTGGGTGTTCAGCCAACATAAATCCAAGTCCTACACTGCATGCCACTGAGTGTCTCAACCACATGCACCAAGGGGAGAATTCTGGTGCCTAACACAAGGGTGGTTGATATGGACAGGATGCCGTGAGTGCTGGGAGTGTTTCTGGATGACCTTGTAGCTCTGGGTTGGCTGATGCCTCTCTAGGCCAAGGTCCAGAAAAACTTGCTACTGTTTATGAGGGTAGTTATTTCTTCTGTGAGTGACAGGGCTGAGAATAGACAATCATTTAAAAGCAATCAGTGCTGTTGAGACAGCTGCACCACTGGCCTTTCTGATCAGCTTGTTAATCAACAGGATACATTTTACTGAGTATTAAGAAAATATATATACTCTGGCTGAGCCAGTTGGCAGCAAGAGACCTAATTTTTCATCTCTCTTTTTTTTGCCTCTTTTTCCTCCTCCTGTCTTTCTTAACCAGAGCCTAAAGGACACAGAGGTGCAGAGGAGCAGCTGATACCACAGGGTAAGTTAATGGGTTCTTCTTTCAAAGCACAAAATGTTGCTATTCCCACTCCTGTATGTGATATATCCCCAAAAAGCAGAAGGGTCCTGTGGCCAGGAGCCTTTAGTCATTTGAAGCCTCACAGATAGAGGTTGAGTTTCTTCTTTGGGTTTTGTCTGATCATGGGCTGCTCTGGTTTGAGAGGCCAAACACCAGCTTTGTCATGTCTGAGACATTTCCCCAGCACACAGGGGATGGAAAGCACTGCTCAGTAGAGAGACAGGTCATGGAGCACACGTGGCCAGAGCCAGCAGGGCATGTGCTGAGTGATGGGAGAAAACTGTTATTATCTTGCTGGTAGTGCCTGCCAGGGACACTGAGAGCCACTGGGGATGGTCAGGGCATCACTTTGCTGAGCTGCATATAAACAGAGCATCCTCTGCTCCTGTACAGGGAAAACCTTAGGGAAGGAAAGGGAGCAGATGGTGTGTTGCAGGTTAATGACAGGGCCGGGAAGAAAATCCAGGTCTCTGCATGTCTGATTTGGTTTCCAGCAGTAGAATCCTCACCCTCTGCCTTTTTTTAAACATTTTTCCTGTGGCCTTTTGCTTCATATTTCTGGAGGATAAACACTCACCATGGGCTTCAGCTCCCTGAAAGCAACGCCAGTGCAGCAGAGCTGATTTATGCTAGCTGAAGATTTGGGTTATTCATTTTCCTCCCCCCTTTTCCCTGAATCTTTCCTTCTTTTTCTCTCCCTTTTGCACTTGTCTCTTTTATGCTGGTAACACCATTTGTCACCAGTATGAGCATTTGCCTACACATTACTCAATGCTGTTTCTCCCAGCCTTCCATCCAGCACTTTCCCCCTTCAGGGAAGGAAGTGCCAGTTTCTCTAAAGCTCTGCTGCAGCAGTGTGATTGAGGATGCTGCAGGAAATGACTGCTCCTGGTCTGCAGGAGTTCATGGGATTGAGTTATAAGGTTGAATGGGAGGATTGAGGCTGATTTATACAAGTGAGGGAATGTTCTGACCCACGCTCAGCAGCACAGCGTGTTGTGCTTGCAAAACAGTTTCTTGCTGTTTTTCCCTCTGTGCTGGAAAGAATTTGCTGCAATAAAGTTTCAGGTGCGTTGGGGGTTTTTGACAGGGGGACAAGTTGTTTGCAATGCTGTGAACAAATGCTCTTGTTTTTTTAAATGGGCTCCTGATCACCTGCCTGAGCATGTCAGAACAACATCCACTGCCAGGTGAGATCCATTAAAGGAGCCCCTCTGTTCATAGAAAAGTCTGCACTTTGTGTCCTGTGGATAAGTAAATTGATCCAAATTAAAACCTTACCTTGATTCCTTGTTCAATACTCAAATTCAATCAGGCCTTTATTGATGACTGAATAGAACAAAAGTACAGGCACACACTCCCACACAAAGCCTTTGCAATTCTCATTTCTCCAGTCTGCCCAGTTTCACTATGGATTAGAAGGCTTCAATTTTTAAGAAAAAATAATTTACACATCTCTCCAGAATGGCAGAAAAAAGCAAAAAAAAAAAGAAAGGAATGGAAATCTTTCCGGGGGTCTAATATTGGGAGGTTATTGCTTTGTTTTGAGAAATGCAGAGAGTTTGGATGAATGTCAGGGGTGCCCCAGGTAGGCTGTCCCACACCTAGAGTGGGAACTGGATCCAAATGTGGGAGCTTCAAATCATGTGAGCCATGATTTCATTGTGTAGCCTTGTTCCCTGTGGTATCAGCTGGGAAGGTGTTAGTTGGGCAGCTTCTTCCCTTTTTTCCTTCTCTCCCTCTGTTCTCATCCATGCCCTCCACCCCCACAGGCAGCATCTTCCCCTGGCACTGCTCTTGGAGGGTCCAGTACTTCTCCTGGTACCAGGGAAGGAGAAGGACACTGCTTAAGAGTTGGTCAAACCTGAACTTGCTCTGTTGGGTTATGGCCATATGTAATCCACAGACTCAAACTTGAAATCTCAGTGTGCTGAACTTTGGACTCAGCCTGATCTCCCTCTGGCTTTGGAGCTTGCATCTGCCACTGCTTTCAGATACTCTGAGCCCTTTGGTAGCCCAGAAACCAGGAACCTCTCATTCTCTTGGCTCTGACAGTTAATGCCTTTATTGTAACCATTAACTGCTTAATCTGAGCAGACAGACTAACTCACCCATGTCGCTGAGGTATTAAAGGCTTCACTGCTGTTTGCACAGTGTTTAAGTGTCTCTCCATGTGAGCCAAAGATGCACAGGTTTTTTTCTGAAAAACACTATAAAATTGCCAAGTGTTGTTTTTGTTTTGATAGTCTAGAGAAAACAATATGAACATTTTATTTAGTGCCATCACAAACTGCCTTCACCTTTCATGGGCTTTACCAGGGTCTGAGTGGACTTGCCAAACAGCAACTTAACTGGGCTGCAATTCCTGTGTTACTGGTGTTTCCAGTAACCCTGGAGCCCTTCTCAGCACCCTGTTCATTGGTATAAATTAGCAACACCTAGTTATTTCAGAAGTGGGGGTGATACATTGGGACTAGTCTGGATGAACTCAGCAAAGGACATCCAGACCCTGCCCAGAGCCATTCAGGCCTTGGGAAGGGAATAGTGTGGGCTACACTTTAGCTTTGGCCAGCACATCCCAGCTGGAGGTACACATCCTGTTACCTTTTTCTGGGAAGCCTTCATGCATGGGGATGTGCTTCTTTCTTTACAGACTGGAAGAAGAGGGGAAGCAAGGTCCAGTCTGGCTCTCCTGCCCTACGTGCCAGGCAGCTCTTGTCACCAGTGCCATCTTGTCTGTGCACAGCTGCATTTCTGCCCCTGTGCATCTCCAACTCCCTCTCCTCTGCTTTTGAGGTTGCTGAAGACCTTCTGACCTCAGCACTGTCCTAACCTCCAACTAATTTCCTTTGTGAATGTTTTCAGGGCTTCCAGGACGGGTTGGTCCTCCAGGCCCGGTCGGACCAACTGGTCTTCCAGGACCACCAGGGCCAAAAGGAGAGAAGGGCCAACCTGGTGAGAGGGGCCCAGCAGGGCCACCAGGTAAGTCCTGGAGGAGGGCAGTGCTTCCATGATAGGAGATGTTTCACTTTATAGAAACTGTCTGTGACAGCACATCAGAACAGGCTGACACACAAGATGTTGAGCATCTTCAGTTGGTATCGAATTCATTTCAGCAAGTCCCCTGGGTACTGAAATCAGGAGCTCTCAGGGCAGACAACCACCTGCACGAGCAATGACAGACCCTGGGATTTCCTGTGGAGCTGGAGAGAGCTTGTCCCAGAAAGCTGCAGAGCAGGATCATGTTTCCCCATCCTGCTCAGGATCTGTAAGAAACAGTCTGTGACCTGTCAGCCTTTGGAGCAGAGTGTTCCCTGTTTAACCCTCTCACTGGGTGCCTGTTTTAACTCCCTTTTTCTTCTACCATTTGTGTCAAGCTGTCAGATGCCAGGATGTCAAACTAATGATGCTTTTGTATGTAAAGGGAAAAGGTTATGAGGCCATTCTTTCAGAGAACACTCCATTCCTGAGCTGGGAGACTTGCTTCATCCCCAAAATGTTCCTAAATCTTTTGATGAAGGCAATACCACACAAAAGGTGCAAGACCTCAGGCTCTGTGCTCTCTGTGGCTAAAAGCCTGTGCCTTGTAACACTGAGCTTGGGGAATATTTAAAACCTGGAGTGTGCCTTAAATATGGGAGCAGCCATGAATGCTTTTTGGCATTCTCTGGCAACCTGTCAAAGGCCAAAGTCTGGCCAAGGATGTGTCTGCCTTTTGGTTTCTCAGTTTGCAGCAAGAGTCTTCCAGCCCCACAAGAAGAAGGATTGGTCTGTTGCTGCACTGACTGTGCTTCCCTTGTTCTTCCTGTGCTTTCCTGGCAGTCAAGTGACATCCAGGTGTACTGGGAGGGGAAGGGGAAGATTTGATTTCACACCTTGCTGCCTTTAGTTTCTTGCTCAGCCTGAGGGAAAGGGGAGATTTTACTCTTTGAGGAATTAAGCTGCTCAAAGGCACTAACACATCTTCTTCTGCCTCTGCACAGGGCTGTTGGGACCTCAAGGACCAAGAGGACTTCCAGGAGAAACTGGGATCCCAGGTCCCCCAGGTCCTCCAGGGCCACCAGCCACCCCAAGCCTCCCTCTTACCTTCCAGCAAGGAGTTCTCTACTCACTCCAGCCCACAGCTGAAAAAGAAAGTAAGTTCCCTTCTCACTTCCTATGTTTTTCTGGTATATCAGCAGAGTGGGCAGGCACAGAGCAGCTCAGCTCTTCCTCCCACCTCCTTGCCAGGTTCTGCCAGGGCTCTGGGAGCAGCTGGACAATTTGCTTACACTGTGTGGGCCTTTTGAAAGTTCCTGTTTAAGATGAAACATCTTAGAAGTGAAGGTGTTCACCTGTCCAGAATGAAGGGCAAAGTGACTTCTCCTCTAAAACCATCAGTGAGGACAGGTTTGGGGGGGATGTTGTTCCCTGTGCCAGCTTTTCTATGTTCAACACAGCTTTGAGGAGGCAACTTAATGTCCCTTAAGCTTTCATCATGAGTGGCTGATGGGAAGAGGGTCTCTAGTGACATGACAGAGCTCAGGTAGCATCACCTGAGAGACAGGGGGATAGTGAAATCCAGAGTCTGCCCAATTAGATGCTGGTGCACTGAATCTGTGCTGTTGGGAGCTCTCTTGGTGGTGGTGCTGCTGCTGCAGTGTTGGAGGGTCAGGGTTCCTCAGAAATCAGTAAGTACCAGAGATTTGCAACTCTGGAATTATATAACACAACAAGGACATCTGTTAAATGCATCTCTTTTCCTGTCCCTGCAGGTACATCTCCCACCTGCATTTCTGGTGCTTCCTCATTATCCCACATCCACACAAAACACAGAATTAAGCACCAAGCCTCTGATTTATCCCTTCCCTATAACTGGAGGGTCAGGGCTTCTTTGTGCCTATGGGGATGGAAACATAGATTTTTTTTGATTTGTGCTGTGCAGGGCAAGAAAAGGCTTTATAGGAAAGGCACACCCTGCACTTTCATGGGAGTGCACTCAGATTTGGGCTTGTTCCTTCTGGTCCAGTCCTATGTAGTTGGCATCTAGTAATGATAAAGCAGAGCTCAGCTGTATCTCCACTTGGCTTGTAAATTCCTGGAGCCCCAGTTCTGTCCAGTCTCCCATCTGCACTCCCCCAGAGTTCTGCTGTGCCTCTCCCCCAGCTTTGCTGCTCATGTCCAGCTTCAAAGCTCAGTTGTCTTTGTTACAGCCAAGGATTAGTAAGTCTCCCCATGTCTGACAGTTATCTAGAGCTCTCCTTTCCCTTCCACCCACTGCTCTCCAGACTCCTTTTCCCAAAAGTGAACAGATGTATTTTTAATTTGGGAAGAATTTGACCAGCTCCATTTCATATTCAGTTACTTAGAGCCTATGGGCAGGATGAATAATTTGTGGTCCCATACTAAGAGTTTCAGAAAGTACAGATCAATATGCTGCATTCATGAGCCTTAGAACAAGGAACTTTTGCATTCCAATCACCTCACTCCTTACAGGATCACACCAGGTTGTGCCATTCTGCATTCCATGGTTCAGCCTTTTATTCCAAATGATCCTTAAGGATGGTTTGGGTGTTGCTGCTGCGTCTCCATCCAGCTCCCCCTGAAATGAAACTTTTCTTGCACAGTAGTGGATAGATTAAAAAGTGTATAAAGGTATTGATTCCACAGCCTTTCCAGCTGATGTGAGAAGGCTGAATTTGGTATCATCCCAAAATGGGAAGAGGATAAATGAGTGGATAATTATCTGTGTTAACTCTGCCAGCACTGGGCAGCAGCAACTCTCACATGGACTTGAGGACAGTGAGTTGCATTTCCATCCCTAGGAATCCCTCCTGCATACCTGTGGATTTCTTGCTTTGCAGAAGGATTAGCCCAAAACTTTATGACAATTTTCTCAAGTATAAGTTCTCTATGTGATGATGATAATGTTAGGGCAACATCAACACCATTGTCTTACAAAACCTAGCATTGTGCCTATGTGTTGGCTGACTTGCCTTTGTACTGGATCAATGAAGAGCTGATCCTGTTCAACCAGTCAAACAGCCTTGTAAAATCTGTGGAGATTAGAAAAGCAAGTATTTATTTCGAATGGAGCACATCTGAAAACTATAAACACAAGATTCCAGCTGCTGACAGCAGAGGGAAGCATATTCCTGGGAATGGGCATGTGCAGCCATGGAGATGTGAGAGCTGTGTCAGGTTATTCTTAGTAAAACAGTGTTTGGTTCTGCCTGAACATGGTTCATGCCTGTGCCTTTATTAATCACAGCAAGTTCCTGTTGGCAATATTTATCAGTAGGCTGAAGACCAAAAGGGGGAGACAAATATTTTCTCACAGTTTCCCTGTGCTGTGGTAAAAAAAAATTAGTCCCAGTTGTGTCCCTCCAGATCAGGTAGCAGAAAAAAAATGAAGACAGGATTACTTCATTTCCATCCTGTCTCAACAAATCAAGCATCTAATGGGGGAATTTATCCCTTAGTCAGAAATCTTAGATGCAGGCCAGAAGCTGAACCCTGCTGCTGGGGCTGATGCTGCTGGGATTGCTCACCTTCTCTGCCACTTAAAAATGAGTGATCAGGTATGTGATCTAGAGTCAGCTCAGTCTTTCTCATGCTAATGCTCAGAATTTTTATGGAGAAGTAAGAGAAAAGAACACAAATTTCACTCTGTGATGGCTTTTTTTTCTTACGTCTCGATGATTTCAGTTTGCAAAGGACACATGAGATAAAATTAACCTATTGTTGGAAAATACCTCCAAGATCAAGTCCAACCATTAACTCAGCACTGCCACCATCTTCACCACTAAACCATGTCCTCAAGTGCCAGATCCACACGTTTTTTTGAACACATCCAGGGATGGTGATGCCACTCCTTCCCTGGGCAGCCTGTGCCTAAGGGGAGAGCAAGGGGAAACCAAGGCACAGCAGGCTGTGCCCAGCATGTCAGTGGTGATAAGGGCACAGAGCAGAGATTTGTGCCTGCTGCCATGCAAAGTCCTTCCTGGGAAGGAGAACAGAGCAGAGAAAGGAGAGGAGAAAGGGAATGGCATTCGATTGAGAAAACTGACTACTTTCAAACCTTTGCCTCTGAGCTGCTTTGCAGCTCTGCCTGGGCAAGTTTCAGTGTGTCCTTAAGGGCATTTCTGTGCTGTTTCAGGTTTCCCCTTTGCAATCTCTCTGTGTCCTCTTCCAGAGACCATAGGTGCTCCTACCTGACCAGGTCAGACTGGTTGTGCTCTTTCTTCCTCTTGGCTTGGCTAGGGGTTGCAAAGCTCCTGGAGAAAATTGTGTATCAAGGTAGTCTCAAACAAGGCAGACAGTCATCTGCCTTCTGCTTTGGTGTATCCAAACGCACTGAGTCAAAATCCAGCCCCTGAATCCAGCAGAGCTTGGGTCAGTGCAGGAGAAGGCTGACAAGGGAAGATTCCTTCTACCTTTGATGCCATTTTGTGGCTGCTCGAAGAGTCTTCAGCTGCAGGGAGCCCCAGAACATCCCCTGGTTTATAAGGAGAAGGGAGTTTATAAAGAGATACAAGTTGTTCCTGCTGCTTTACGAGAATATGGAGAGAGTCCCTTAAAAAATGTGAGGATTGTGCTTTAACACACTTCAATCCCATTTCATTCACAGGATGTTTCATTCAGGGCTGATCCTGGAAGGAAACCTGGATCTGAGTGAGTTCTGCCTGGCCAGGCAGCTGAGTCAAGAGCCATTCCATAGTCCTGTGCTGCTGAGGCTAAACCAGGAGCAGCTCAAGGGCTGTTGATCAGAGCTTTCTTCTGTGTCACAGTTATGGAATCACCTTTCATAAACAATGTTGAGTCAAATGTCAGGATGGGTGGATTTATGGGAGTAACTCTGTCGTTGTAATAATGTACCATTTAGCTGGAATGTTTTGTAACCCAAATCTTTATCCCTGGCTTACCTCCAGCAGTAATTAAACCCTGGTTGGTTGCAGTCCATCCTCTCCCCCTCTCAGTAGATGTGCTTTTGATTTTGTTGACCACTTGTGCTTTAAAAACAAAAGGCTCTGCAACTGTTAATGCCTTCACTGCTGTTTGATGCTCATTTCCCAATTTCATCTTACTCCCAAGCCATGATGGATTTTGACATGGTCAAATAAAACTCAAATTAATTGGATTACACACTTCACTGGGGTACCTTTTCCTTCTGAACATGAAAACAGTCTCAGTTGTTTTGTTTCAGGGCTGTGAGGAGGGGAAGATGAATGGATTTAGAAACAATAATCAAATACCTGTTTGCATTCAGGCTTTAGGCATGACATTTGGTTCTCAGAGGGATCTGGGTTGGATCTTGCAGTGTTCTGCTGCCAGCAAGGCATTGCAGAGATATCCTGTCATCCTTGGCAGTCAAAGCCATTTCACAGTTTTCCCTAGAAACTGCTTTCAAACACTAGCTTGAAAGTCCTCTCTGTCATTGCCAATGTTCCAGAAGCTGAAAGAGTTTCATCATGTGTCTGCTAAAATTTTTGGAGATTTCACCTTATGACCTCTGGGCCGGAGTAAGCAAACACCCTTCTGATTTTCCTGGTGTCACTTGACATTTCCAGTGAGATGTTTGCAGTCTTCTACTGCAGAGGGTTCCCTGAATTTTACTGTGATGAGTTACAGGGATGGGTGGAAGGAAGCATGAGTAAGCTTGAGGTCATGGGCAGGAGGATATGGATATTATTCCTGCATGGTGGCCTCCAGTTATGGAAAATATGGACTTTTCAGAGGGTTTAGCATCCCAGTGACCAAGAGCCAACATCTTCATCCAGGTTCAATGCAACAAGAGACATATTGCTGGTCCCACAGCATGAGTCAGGAAAGTGGATTGCAAGCCTCAATAGCAGCAGGACATGGGGGTTCCCTTCCTTGCTTTTTGTGGTCTTGTTGTCTTGGCTCTTCATGGAATTTTTTCCCCCCAGGTTTCCACAACTGCAAAGGGTAAATAAGTGCTCCAAGATCCCAAATTTAGCATTGCTGCTGCACTGCCTGTCCTTGGCCAGCAACAGGCGCCAAAGGATTTAGGAGAGAAGTCCTGCCTGCAGGCCTGGGCAGCTCAGCACTAACTGCTCTCTCTTTGGCACAGATGGAGAACCCCAGTTGGCCTCCACCGTCATTGACACCATCATGGCTGGGCTGCCTGGACCTCGGGGAGCCCCAGGGCCTGTGGGGCCACCAGGTAACACCTCAGCTGAGCTGCAGAGCTGTAATGATGGGGAAGATGAGCCAAAGAATTTCTGATGGAGAGTGAAGTGGTCAGTGAGATGCCAAGATGAGCCAAAGAATTTCTGATGGAGTGAAGTGGTCAGTGAGATGCATGCAGGGAAAGCAAGTGGTCCTTACTGGAAGGGAAGTAGTGGGGCCAGGAGTGGGAAGGGTAGCAAGAAGTAACCAGATTTGTTACCTGTTGTTAGTGATAGGTTGTTCTACCTTTGGCAGGACACATCTTGAGAAGAGGCTAATTAAAAGGCTGGCTTTAAGAATGGGTTGTCCAGTGAGTTCCTCTATGAGAGCAAAATCGTTCTCACCACTGCAATCCTTTCCTGCCTCTGGAGAGCTCCACCAAGCAGGGTCTGGCCAGCTGCTCTGTGATGTATATGAAGACTTTGGAGTTTGTTTGAGCCACTCCAAATTTTCACCAGTATAACTAAAATCAGAATCTGGGATGAAAATTCAGTGGCAAGTCTTCATTCTCTCTGTGCTGATGGGTGGCTTGATGATAATATTCCTGCAAACATCAGCCCTTCCCTGTATGGTGCACATTTAGGAATGAACTCCCATTAGTTGCAGAAAAGGGTTTTTCTTTCATTATGAGGGCCTTTCATTTATCCTTCAATTCCTTTCTTCTTTGACTTAAACAGTTGTATGGTGCATTAATGATGGAGGCTGATTCAGCTGTACTTTGAGTACAATGTCCACATTGGTTCATCTCAAGGGTTGTGACAACTAAAGCAGAGAGGAGTATTGCCAAGTTCAGACTAGGCAAATATCCTGTCTCCCATCTGCAGGTATAATTTAGCTGCTACTGTTAAATGACTCTGTACAACAAGTTGACCTGTTTAGACAGTGTAACTCATCCTGAAGCAGCTCTTCTGTGATACAGACGTTATTGCCACTGGAGTGAGTGAAGAACAAGACAGAGCTTTGCTCAGCCTCTCACCTGGCTGTGGCCAAACTCCATCTCCTTCATGTTCATTATTAGCTTTCTGACACACCAGAGTGACAGACTGTACCAGGCTTGTGGCTTCCCTTGCCACCTACCAGGCTGTTTCAGGACCAGCACCTGCAGCATCTTGCTCTGGTGTAGTTGGTTCATGGATCTAGTTTAAGTTTTCTCAAAAGTTGTGTTATAAGGAATGGGAATACAGGATGTTACTGACACCCTTCTGCCTATTTTCACTTTTTTTCTTCTCAGCTCTACCATCTTTCCTGTATTATGTCAGGATGTGGGTATCCAGTAATCCAGTGTGTGATGAAGGGCTCATGCTGCAATCCTGGGATGGATGAAAGGCTCTCATTGAGAGACTCAGCAGAACATGAAAGGAAGTGCATGCATTTGGAATTTAGGGTTCTTCCTACTAAGTCTCTTTAAAATTGTCTCCAATTCTGATTCCCACCAGGGCCACCAGGTGCATCAGGACCCAAAGGGCCTCCAGGACCTATTGGAGCCCCTGGATCACAAGTAAGGTGCTTTAGTGCTTTGGGGTGAGGGACAGAGGTGGGAGTTAGAGGTGAAACAACATCTCATTGCACAAAGAGAGAGAGTAGGTTATAAATCTTAGATCTGATGTTTTGTTCCCCATGAAATTCTGTGATTTAATACCTTTTTCTCATTCTGAATTGAGTTGAGAGCATGAAGCAGTTGAGCTTTCCAGATTTTCCCTTAATCATAGCAACACATCTTGCTGTTGCTGTGTCAAAACATTTCACTGTGGCCTGAGTTGATGCAAAGGATCTGACATGAGCTTTACTAACACAGTGATAGAAAAATACAGTGTTTCCTGTGGAACACATAAAAAGAACAAAAAAAGCATCAATGGGAATTTACCAATTCACCAAAGTGAATGTGTTAAGCCTATTTTTTCAGACATAGCACTTTCTGTTCAAGGAAAATATCACAAATTCCCATCAGTTTGATTATTTATTGATACAAACAGTGTGGAGGAGGGAGATAATAATGGAGTGTGATAAACTAACTCAAAAGAATTTATGGTAGAAGAAGGGCAAAGAACTCAGATGGCTGGAAAAAGCTGGTTAAATGGAAAGAAGTGAAGTCATGATGAATAGTGAACTGCCAAACTACTCAAAATTGTGGTTGGCTGATACAAAGGGACTCAGTTTTGGGAAGAGTATTACTTAATGTGGAGGTAAATTAGTAATATTAAGCATTTCAAAGGGATCTAACACAGCTGAAGAGTACAGAGAAATGTGAAGCAACTTAGCAGAGGATGTAACTTAGATCCTGTAAGAGGAGGTTTGGAATTGAAAATAGAGAAAGGAGATTTTTCCTATGTATTTCTTAAGCACTTTGAAGAAGCAATGGGCAACAGGTTCATGAAAGTTTGCCAGTGTAGCAGAATCATTTCAATTAGCGAATGCTCTGGAGAACAATGAGAAACTCCAGATAGATATGAACACAGTGGGAGATTTGGCAGCAAAATGACAGATGCAGTTTAACGTGATTAAATATAAGGTAATTCACAATTCATAAGCAGATTCTGCAGTCGAGTCTGGATTTTGGACATGCAGCACACACTGTAAATGTTTTCACTTTTACAATCATTTCAATTAGCGAATGCTCTGGAGAACAATGAGAAACTCCAGATAGATATGAACACAGTGGGAGATTTGGCAGCAAAATGACAGATGCAGTTTAACGTGATTAAATATAAGGTAATTCACAATTCATAAGCAGATTCTGCAGTCGAGTCTGGATTTTGGACATGCAGCACACACTGTAAATGTTTTCACTTTTACAGTGTGGAATTTTTGGACATGCAGCACACACTGTAAATCTTTTCATTTTTACTGTGTGGAATTCAGTGTTGTTGAGCATCCCTGTCTAACCAGGCACTGACAGTCACTGTTGAGAGCTGTCAAAAGCAAAAGATCTTTATGGACACTTGAGCTTAGTTCATGCTGCATGTTTGACATGGTGCTAAGCCTGTTTGTGCCCTACCTTGTTTGGCAGTGAACCTAAACCAGGCCTGAGTTTTGTGGGCCCAGGGGAGATGCAGGTCACTGTGGGGCTTGGTGGGGAGCTGGTGTGGCTGCTGCAGGCAAAGAGCAACATGTTAATGGTGAACATTGCTGAAAATGGGAGAGTGCTTCTCCTTTAGACCCTTAAAACATGTATGTCCAACTTTGTTGGGCCACTTAACCAGACACAACTCTTCACACCAATGCCTAGAACACCCATTTGTCTGGATGCTGACAGGGGATTTTCAGGGGGCTGTTGCTAACCAGGCTGGCTTAGATCAGCACAAGTCTAGAGGGGAGCTCCAGGCTTATTTGCTGCTTTTTCCAAGGTGATGTGCAAGTGACTTGAGGTGGAAAAAGCCATCTTTTGCATATGACTGTGGGGAGCTGACATGCTGAATATAAACAAACTATGTTGTTCTCTCCTCTCTGGTTCATAACTGTGGCTTCACTGGGTGGATAAGTTAAGAATTTGGATCGATTTCTGCAGAGCAGTTCAATTAGTAGAAACCTGGAGACTATGCCCTTCTTTAGCCATTGGTGACTGCTTTATAGATTTATTCAACCCAGGGAGTAAAATTATTAGTAGAGATTGAGCTTAATTTGAAAATTGTTTATTAGGGTGAGTGAATAGCTTCAAAATAATTTCCACTGCACAATCCAATTAATTTTCAGGTATGTGTGCTTGCTCCTGCCACCCACTGAGGCAATTAAGAAGTAGGGGAAAGCAGTGAGGATTTTGAAGTTAACTATACTACCTGTGTATTAATTTCTTCTTGGTAACTGTCATACTGCTCCCTTAAAATTGTTTCATCAGGGTCACAGTGCCTTCAAAGACCCAAATAGAGTGATCTACAGAAACTACAGGGCTTGGCTTATCTGAGCAGAGCTCCCATGGTATTTGCTTGAGGGCAAAAGAGAATCCAGCCCAATTGCTTAATGGGTGTATGAGGTTCTCAGGAGCTGAGGATCACTGGGAAATGCATTCACTACACCTACACAAAGGATGCCCAGTAGAAATTAATTCCTTCTCATTCTGCATCTCTTCTAGGGCTTACCAGGATCTCCAGGACAACCTGGGCCAAAAGGATCCAAAGGAGACCGAGGAGAGAGGGTAAGGCTTTATACACACACAGAGATCCTCAGCAGCATCTAGGCTGATGCCTCAGAAATTATATACAGCTCAGGTCCTACAAATCTGCTGGGACTGCAGCCATTAACAATTTTGAATGTAGAGTTTCTGCAAGAACCAAGATGAGGGTTTACTGTACAGATAAAGAGTTGAATTGCTTGCAAAGGCTGGTGTGTCCTAAAGAAACTCAGGTGGAAATACATGGTGTATAAAGGCTTGTGTAGACCAACTTTCTTCTGCCAACCAAAGCTCTTTAGTGTTGGAGTATTTGGGGTGGTCTAACTGAACTCTTTCTGCTGTGGCACTAAGGCAGTAAAAGCTCATCAGACTTTTCCTGAGCCAAAGTCATTCCCCAGGTCAAATGATGTTCTTAATATATTTGGAATATTGAAATCATGTTCTTAATAGGTTTATGTGCTGTACCTCAGACCTTGATGGGCTGTCAAGTGTTGGTAGCTAAATGTAGAGATAAGGACTGTTTGAATGTTATTTCTAAACTGGTGAAGAAAAATGGGCACAATGAACTGTGGAGAATCACTAAGACCCCAGTGTGGGGTGGAGTCAAAAGAGGGAAGAAAGCTAAGGAGGAAAATATTGTTTGTTACCTCTAAAATGCTGGATGTCTGCAGTGCCACAGCTGTAGGAAACAAGCTCTATTTCCTTCCAAGGGTCACTTTTACTGTCCCATAGATGGAGGTGAAGGTGGAGGTCACCACCTGTAAATGGGTGGCTGTAGGTGATGTGATTTCCTCCTACCATAGCATCTCCTCCATTTCTGCTCACTCTTCCAATCCAACAGACAGAAGGATGTCAGAAAGAACTAAGACAAACAAATGCAATCCAACAGACAGAAGGATGTCAGAATGAGCTAAGACAGACAAATTCAAATTGGTTAACTCCAATGTGATAAGTTTCCACATTCATGAGAATAACTAGCAAAATCTGTGTTCCTCTGCCCAGACTGTGTGCAAGGAGAGCAGGTCCAGGGGCCTTGTTTTACCCCTCCTGAGGCACTTCACATTGAGGAGCAGCAGATATCTGAGGGTGGAGCACATATGCCTGTTAAAAGCTTCATTTTATTTTAGTTTTGAGTGCTTGGTTGTGTTCTTGTGAAAGACAGAGCCCATTTTAAGTGACTGTTAGTAATTTTTTCATAACACTTTGCTCGTGCAGCTCAGCCAATCTGGGCATGTATTTGCTTTATTGTGAAATTGCAGACTGATGTATTTCTGGGACTGGAATTTAAGATTCTGGTAGGGAGCAAAACCTTAACTGGTGTGATTGCAGCAGAAGTTACCAACTACACCTCAATCTGAATTTTCAGTTAGAAAAAGGGTATGATATATGGCAAAGTGTCACATTTCCATCCAGGAATCTGATAAGAAACTCTTCCTCAGTGATTCCTTTAACAGTTTGGTTTGTGGTTGACCATATTGCTAACATTACACTTAGTTTGAATCAAAAGTTTGTTGAAGTGTGTCCATTCAGTACAGGCAAATCTTTGACTTTGGTTTTGTTCCCTCCTTGTTAGGGAATCAGAATGGTAAATCTCCTTCTAGGTTTGGGACAAATGAGATTTTCAAATATCAAAATGTCTTGATAAATAGAAAAAAGCCCCGAATTTTATATCCTGTCCCTCCTCTGTCAGGGTGGAAAGCAAAGCTGATAGCTTTTTCTGGCAGAATTTCTGTAGGATGCTCTGTGTGCTCTTTGTCTTTTGTGAGTGTGGCTTTGAATGCTGGTTTTGACAACTACATGCTGCAATTTTGGGGTTGGTGGGTACAAATTAGGGCTAGAGCAGAGGAGCTGTGCTGCAGCTGCAAAGAAAAGCAGAGGAGGGTTTACAATATCTATTGAGATTTGAGAAAATGTTATTATACATTCTTCCTGCTTAATCTCAGAGAGAACAGATGTGAAAGAGACCTGAAGCAGTCAGAGCACATCCCCTGGATGGCACAGCTATATGTGCTGCTCATGATCAGCCTCTGCTCATCTTATCCTTAAACAGTGCCAGGGAGGGATGTGCCACATCATCTCCAGGCAGTCTTCAGAGCAACAGCTAGTGAGGGCTTGGGATAAAAGATATTTCCAACATCCAGACTAAATATCCTTTGATCCCCTTTAAGCTGATAACATCCTTTCTGTTCCTCCTGGACATGGAGCACAGCCTGTTTATAGAGTCTCTGTATTTTGAGTGTGTTGTTGTGCTCCTCTGTGTGCTTTTTCACAGGTCTTATTCCCTCCAGTGCAGAAACCAAGAATCCCTTTGAAGATACTTGGAGCACCTGACAAGACTGGGCCTTCCTCCCATAGCTCTCTCTGTCCCTAGGGGCCTTTGCCTAGTGCTGGTTAGACACTCCATTGGAATGCAGCCCTCCTAGGAATGTTTTGTAGATGCCCAAGGCCTATTGGTTTTATACAAAGCAGCAGTTTGGTGGACACAAAAACAGCAGCTCTCCCTTGCCAGCAAATGTTACAAAAAGCTGCCACCAGCTAGGTAGTATTTTTTGGGGAAAAAAAAAGAATGGGTTTGTTGCTGTGTATGTCTAGGGGAGAAGAGCCAGGGGAAATATGTGGCTGTTTCATCAGCAGACTTCTAAAGATGCTTTTACATTTTGCCTCTTCTTCCCAAGCTCCTGCTTTCTCACTAAATAATCTATAACTGTTCTCCTGGTCAGGGATTCTACCCTGTGCCCCAGTGTGCTCCAGGGTGGGAAACCAGCATTGTGGAGGAAAACAGGGGAAAAAGAGATGCTCAGTTCAATGGCATTTCATTCTGCCCCAAACCAGAAAGTGCTAGTGTTCAAACTGTTTCTGTTAAAAAAAAAAAAAGGAAAAGAAAAAAAAAAGAACAAAAGCCCCTCGCTGAGAACAATGTCCAAATTAGCACAGCAGGAAAAAGAAACAAAGCAACCAAAATATTGTACCTATGTTTTGATCAGTAGCTGTTGGGGTTAACATGGATATGTGTGTGGAGCAGGAGCAGATTAAATCAGGGCTCAGTGGGAGCTCTGGGCTCTGTGCTGGCTGGGGCAGCAGTGGCCCATCAGTTTTACTAGAGAGAAGAATGCAGTATCTTTGTAAGGAACAAATCTGCAGCCAAATTCCTCACTGGTATAATGTAACTGACTGCTGGAAAGTTCAAAAAACTGCTAATCGTCTTACTGAGAGGGCACTGAGCTGAGGAGCTCCATATTCAACCCAACCCCTCCAAAGTGTGATGGGATTTGGAGCTGATACTTGACAGAAAACCATAACCCCCTTTTGCTGTCTCTAAGTGATAATGTCAAGGGAGAGGAATTTTTTTTTCGTATTATCCCAAGTGTAAGGTTTTTCATTAAGCCATCTTAATTCCACTGGTAAAAATTACACTATGTTCTTGTCAAATGGAAAAGTATCTCCTAATGACACTGACTTTATTTCCAACAGGGGCAAGCAGGTCTGCCTGGAGAGAGGGGCATTAAGGGATTTCCTGTAAGTGATGCACTTGAGGGTGGGTGCAAGGCTCAGATGGGGTTGGTTCCTGCCCTGGCACTGGAAGTGCCACCAGGCTGGTGTGGCTCAGCCACCTCTCAGGTGCAGAGCTTAGGGCAACTGTCTCCAGCTCAGACATTTGTTCTCTACACAACCTCACCTTAACAAATCCCTGTGCCAAGGAGATTCCTCCTGGGTGTGAAGCAGAGTGCTGGAAGGCCATGATCAGGAAGGTGTCACACCAACAGAGATGTGCTTTGTGTGGAGATCTCCTCTGGCCAAACCTGGGCAGACAGAAACCCTCCCAGGCCCTGGGAGGTTCCTAGCACTACCAGGGGCTAAAGGTGGGCACTGCTAAACAGCTCAGAGTACATCAGCTGTGCTCGTGCTTTGTGTGGAGATCTCCTCTGGCCAAACCTGGGCAGACAGAAACCCTCCCAGGCCCTGGGAGGTTCCTGGCACTACCAGAGGCCAAAGGTGGGCACTGCTAAACAGCTCAGAGTACATCAGCTGTGCTCAGCATCCTCTTGCACCTTGGTCTGCTGGGAGCCCTTTAAAGACATTGAGATGTCACCAAATGATTTTTTTTGGCTACACCCGAACAGATGCACACAGGAGATGTCTGCACTGGCATATCTGGCTGGGTGCAAACAAACCAGTGGAGATGAAGGTTGGCTGACAGAGAGCTAGTGGAATAAGCTGGGTTTTATTGGCTGGCAGCATCCAGAGAGGTCCTAGACCCTCTGGGAGGTTTCTTTTCTCTTTCTTAGTTCCTCTTCATCATTTTGTACAATTCACTCAATCTTCTCTTCTTGCCCTTCCTCCCATGCTCACTCCTGCTTTGCAGATATCTCAGAGATGTCCAACAAATTGAGGAGCCCAGGCATTCCTACTCTATTTTATTCACTGGTTTGTTAGTCTTGTTTCATGTTTAGCTTGTGGTTTAATCTTTCCATGTCATCTGTTCTTTGGGAAGTGCATGAACTTCCTGGTTAGGGGAGAACATGAGACCAATATTCAGAGCACAGAGGGATATTTGTTCCAGAAAAGCTTATGAGCATCTTCAGAGGCAGAAAGTGATGTGACTAATTAATGAAAGCAGAATGGAGGATTTTACTTTCTAAATCAGAGATGAACACGTGCATGTTTGGGGGAAAGAGCGATTTATCTCAGTGGTTTAGCCTGAAGCATTGCCCATTGGGAGCATCATGAGATGTACATGGTCTTATTGTGGGCTGAGGCCTTGGCAATCAGCCCCTCCTGCAGCTTGGCAAGTTCATCCATGTTAGAAATGGTGGTGACCTCTGGGAAGATGACAGGAACCAGGAGAGAGAGTCTGTTTTCTGCTTGTGAAATGCTTCTGCCTTTAATTTGCTCCTTTGGAGGGAAGGGATGCAAGTGATTCTGGACAGGGTCCTCAACCACATGTAAAAACTTTCTGTTTCTTGTTTTTTTCAGGGTGAACCAGGCAAGAAGGGTGAGGAAGGTGACAAAGGTGCTGATGTAAGCATGTATTTCTACTGCTTTACTTTCCTTTTGTCTCTTAACTGCCCTTCAAACATATTCCCTTTGACCTGTGGGGGACAAGGGTTGTGTCCACAGTTAAAAGTGCAGAGCAAATGGTGATGTGAACTTAATACATGCCAGAAATCCTGCTCTCTGAGGTTTTCTTGTCCATGTTGTCACCCTGCTGCCTGAGCACCTCCTCAGTCCCCAGTGGCAAAACTGTTGTCCAGGTAGTTCAGCAGAGTTGTTAACACAAGTTGTACAGTCTAAAGATTAGACAGGAACATACACCCTGGGTTTGGGTCACTGTAGGCAAAGGAAGCAAACTGAAGGGCACAGCTATGGGTCAGAGCTCTGCAAACATGGACTGTGACTGAGGAGTTATTCTTTAAATAGGGATTTATCCTGCATTCCTACTTTACCTTGTAGGTTCTCTCTTCTTTGACATATTTCCTTTTTTTTTTAACTTTACCTTGTAGGTTCTCTCTTCTTTAACATATTTTCTTTTTTTTTTAAATATCCACACTGCATAGTTTGGTGTTATGGAACCGATATTATGAACAAGAAGCCTATTCTGCAACATATTCCAATGTTGTCTTTTCCCTCTTGCAGGGGGAAGGTGTTCAACAGCTTCGAGAGGCTCTGAAGATTTTAGCTGAGAGGGTATTAATTCTTGAGCACATGATAGGAATTCATGGTAAGCGTCGCTAAGGTTTTCTTTCCTGCAGAACCAGGGGCTCTGCTCAGGCAGCTGCTTGGAGGTTAAACATCCTCCCAGTCTCCTGAGCTCTCTGTCTGGTGTCTATCTAAGCCAGGTTTTCCAAACTAGGTACTCACCATGACTTACAGGATGCTTAGAACTGTTGAGGACCTGGAGCCTCCACTAGTTGCTTTGGCTTTACAGTAGCAGGTGAAATGACCCTTACAATAATTTTTATTACAGTTCAGACAGCCAAGTCACGAGCAGCAGCTCAAGCCATGTGGCACAGATCATCTACCAGCTTCCCAGGGAGCTGCTTGTTCAAGTCTTTAGGCCAGATCATTTAATCCTGTTAACAGCCTGACTTGAACACCTCTGAGGCCTTTGCCTGGTGCAGCACTGCATTGTGCAGAGAAAACCCAAACAGTGCTGCCATGTCACCCTGAAAATCAGTGATCCCTGAACAGTTTGTGATTTTAACTTACATAAAACACATTTTCACAATCAGATTTCAAGAAAGTCCCAATGTTCTACATTCAGGTAGATTTCAAAGTGTTCTATTGAGGCTATTTGCTCTCCCATCACTGGTACAGTGTGTACATCATCCCTTAATGACTATTTTCTTCCATTAACCAGCATATGGTCTTGGTAATCCTCACAGATCAGACTTTTCCCTTGGGGTACCTGGGGATCAATTCTCTCACAGCTGCCAAAAGTTTCAGAAACACAGTAGAGGCAGAATGTTTGGCTCAACTATCCCAGCCTGTGAGCAACAAGTCTATTCCTTGACACTGACCAAGTCCCAGAGCACTTTTCTGTCTTATACTCTCCTTGACACACAGAACCTCATTCCTGGCTTTGCCAGTGAATTGAGCTGCTCACACCTCATTTCAGATCAGCATAACTTTTATTAGGAAGTGGCATTTGGATATTGATTTAGCATGTGAAAATCCTAAATAGCTAAAATGCCCAGCAGTTCTGAGCAAGTGCTTTACTGGTGTACTTTAAGCAGTATCTTGAGAGTCCCCAAGTCCCTTCTGGAGCCAGCAGTGCCAAGATGGAATTGCTGTTGGACACTTCAAGGCCCAAGGTCAGGGCATGGAGCTGTGTGGCATGGCTGGTCTGGCCTGGTGCCTGCACTGCTCTGCATTGCTCACTGGCCTTGTGGCTCTTAGAAGCCCAAAGTGCTAGTTCCAAAAGCAATAGGCAGTAACAGTATAAGCTTTTTGGGAAAAACCATGAATCACAATCCCGTGATTTAACCACAGTCACACTGACCTTACCTCTGCATTCATCCTACTTTGCTTTATATTTTCATTGGGGTTTATATACCAGAAAATTATATTTTTATGCTTCTTTGCTTTGTGCTGGTGGAGGCACCAGGAAGATGCCCACTAAATTTCCTAGGCAGCAATCCATGCCAGATGGTATGTTCTCCAGGGAAGAGAACCCAGTCCATAAGCACAGTGCAGGGTATTTACAGGACTCAGGGCTTGGCCCTCCATTGCCTTTTACTTTGCACCTTCATTTATAGTAGTATAAAGCAAAAAGCAGCACTTGAGGAAGCTTCTGTAGACACTGGGGCTGAGACTGGGGATTCACACAGCTTTGCCCCAGCAGAACTGCTTGTTTTACCTAGTTTTTACATTCTGTCTGGAAATAGAGCAGCAACAAGGCATGCACTGCTGTTGTTTTGAAACAGTCAAACCATTTTTACTGACATAAATGTAGTTTCTGTTACTGCTTGGGATGGAGATGAGTTATTTATACCCATGTGTACTCCTATACCAGTGTAACTGCGTCAGCAAAAATGACTGTTTTTCAGATGTACACTGCAGTTAAGGCTGGATTTAAACACCTATATTGTATGACTTTAAATAGTTCCTTTTTTTTATCCAATAGCTATAGATAATTGTATTTTTACTCTGTGCTTTTGAGATAGTTCCATTCTTTAACTTAGCACATATTTTAGGCCCTATAAAAATACTGTTTAGAAAGGGAACTTGGAAAGTAAGGCATTTTTCCCTTGTGCAATTATGTTCACCCTTGTATGTGTATATGGTTAAAAAAACCCTAACAAATAAACATAAAAAAATATAGATTAACAAGAAATAACCTCCCTGAGCACAGACCTCCCTGCACTGAAAGGCACCACAGAGGTTTAAATCACCCAGCACCAACTATCTGGTCATGTTCCCACTGTAGGTGTTAGGGATTTGACCACAGGATCTGGGACAGCCCAGCTCTAAAGCCCCACGCAGAAATGCCAATCCCATGGTCTCATTTTCCCAAGAAACTTCACATTGAGCCTGGTTTCCAAAACCACAGCCACCCAAGCAACAAGGCAAAACATACCAGCAAACAAACCTCTGCAGAGGGAGGGCAGTTTGAGATGATCAGGCCTAGGAAGCTGCAGAGCACAGCCCAGCAAGACACACGAAAGCCAAATTGTTTGGCAGAGTTTGGTGCCAGCAGACACAGCACAAATCCTCCAGCAGCCAAACACTCACTTGAAACAGAAAGCTGCCTCGTGGGATCAACCCAAGGCTGGGTGCCTGGCTGGCTGGGAGGTTGGGCTCTTGGCAGGGAAACACACAAACATCCAGCTCTGCAAGCAAAAGGAAGAAGAAATTGGGGTATTAGAAATGATGAGGCAGCACTGAGCCATCAGCATCTGTTGCTGCAGAGTGGCCAGGGCCCAGTGTATATTTAGCTTCATGGGGCAGAACCCTGAAGGAAGAGGAGGGAGTGTTTGTTCCCTGGAGGTATGTCAGGAGAAGGGACAGCTAACATGTATTCCCAGCTTTAGTGCTAATTTGGCTGCAGCCTAGAGTGGATCAATCCTCTCATTCAATCATTTCAGTACCTCAAAATTTCCTCTTTCACAAGGAGTGAAATGGTACTTAAACTCCCAGGAGCATCACTTCCCAGTGCCCACCTGACCTCATCCTCCACAAACAGCAGTCTGTGGACAGTGCTGAGTAGCTGCTATAGCCCAAACAAAATTCTGATCAATCAATAAATAAAACAACAGTGCTTTAGAAATGGAACTACAAATGAGAACAGGACCTGCTGAGCACTTACCCCAAAAAGTTTAGGCAGAGCATAGGGAAAAGATCTAAAAGAGTAGTGTGATGGCAGCAAACACATAGCTCCACAATTGCTTCCTGGATGGAAGGACAAGAGGAAGGGACCACACAGCTTCCAGAGGAAGTATCACTCAGAAGGGCCCATTTCTGTTTTCCTTAGCCTCCCCTTTTAAATAGTGCTCTCCCGTGACTTTCTCTCCTTACAGACTCTTTGTCTTCCATTGAGCCAGGCTCTGGACAGGATGTGATCCCGGGCTCCCCCCTGAGAAGCAGCATCAAGATCAAGCGTGGAGGACCCCGACAGCCTCAGGCCCACCAGATCCTCTCTTCACTGCTGGATGAGGGTGAAGCCAAAAGGAGAAGCAATCGGATGAAGTAGGAGCATCTCTGTGTTCTCCATGCCTGTTCACCAGTTAAAGATACAGTATCCCAGTGCTTAATTGCAGAGTGCAAATGAAGTGGGTAGGAGGCTGCAGTGTTGGCAACTGGGTTTCCTTACCTGGCCAATACTGTGCCCTCATTGCAGGGAATGTCTTATCCATAGCTCAGAGAGGGCCTTAAGAGCATTTTCCTTGATTTTGTTTGTTGCCTTTGGAATGCCAGATGGCAGGTATCTCAGAAACTGCCTACAGAAACGACACCTCCTGGACATGTCTCAAGAGTTTAATCCTCCCCTTGTTTTCTCACTGCCCTTGACAGTTAGTAAAGCACTGCTTAACCTGTCAGGGCAATCCATCCAACCTGGACTCAAAGCCAAGCCTCAGCCTTGTCCATTGGTGTCGTTGGAGGCATCTGCTTTTATTTCATCTGTTGGTGTCACAGTGGCTTCCAGGTGAAGGTACCACTTCCACAGGCCATGAAGGCATGACCTGCAATGATTTCTTTTAAGCAAAAAGCAAATTAGAAAATTCAAAGCACATTTAAAAGTGTTGCTCTGAAAATCCAGGTGATTCTCTGGACTTCAGCACCAAAATCTTGGCTTTACATGTTGCTAATTGCATGTGAGTGACATTATTGCTGTTTGTGGTTGGCTAAGCAAGGCCTTTTGATGCAGATGTTCAAGGCAACATTGACCTTCTGTCTATCTTCAGAGAGATTAGACTGTTTCTGTGAAAATATAGAGCAGTTTGCATGAGATATGATGGAATTGTGCAAGAATTTTCCCATACTGTGTTCAGCTTGTGCATACATCCAGAGATAATTAATTTAAGTGGTGGCAATAACTATTCACAGAAAAGGATATTTTGCAATAGTTTCTTAATCCTACAGCAATAAGGAAAATGTTTTCACAGTGTTTTGTTTTAATCTTGTGAGTAAATCCTTGCCATTTGAATCTGGAGACAGTGTAGTAGCAAACCACAGCCTAAGGAATTAGAGTCTTGTCAAGAGCTTATCTTGCACTGGGAGTCAAATACAGAGTCATTTTACTCTTTGCAATAACTTGTTATTTTAGGGGAAGTACCAGCTTCCAGGTTTAAGAAGTTGAACCTGCCCTTCAGTGACAAATGAATCACTACACCTGCTGTGCTAACCAGATTGGACAAGCTGATGTCATTCATGTAGACAGTGATTTTTGTTAGAAGGGTGAGATTAATCCACAGAACTGATGGTACTGTCTTTTCATTATTATTTCCCCCTATGTCTCCATTCTGAAAGTTTTCAAATTCAGCCTAGGACAAAAGTGATCAAATTGAGTTTGTGTTTGTTTTAAGTCAGGTAAATTGGTCCCATTGTCTCTGGTTCCTGTGCAGGACACAGCTGTCTGAGCAAGGTGAGCTGTACTGCTGCAGTAATTCTGTCAGAAGCTGTTGCAAAGACCAACACTGTATGGTCCATGTATTTAGTGACCCAAGTGATCTCCCTAAGGCAAAGCCAGAAGTGTGTGGTTCACTGGAAATGAGGCTAAAATGAAGGAGCTCTGCCAACCCAACATTAGCCACACATTAAATTGACTTTCCTTATACATTGTAAACATGGTACAGACATGAGTCCTACAGAGATCAGAACATCCAAATCTTTCCTCTGAAGGAGGATCAGAAATCAACATATTACAGGCCACTTCAGGATGGCTGAATTCACTGTGTCTCTTCACTGTTCTGTAGAAATCCATCCCAAAACTCAACTGCTTTCTCCAGAAGCAACTGATGATTCAAAGGGACTAAGCCTTTTCATTCTTCAGCTGCTATATGCTAGACCATCAACATAAGCAACACTCCCCAATAAGCAAACAAGCCCAACATCAAACCAGCTTAACTGCTGCTGTATGTAGTCCCAATTAGTTGGTGCAGTCAGATTTCTAGGCTTCATGTCTAGGCAGTTGCATAATTCCCAACAAGAGTGACAGGAGTGAAAGATAGCCCACCAGGACTGCTAGTTTTTCCCCTGTGTCTTCATCTGAAAGAGAGTTGGTTGCAACCACTGAGAGAGTGGCTGAAGCATGGTGCAACCACTGACATTCTTGGAATAATCTTTCCATCTAAGAATTAAATGTGGCAAAAATTAAAAAAAAAAATGTTTCCCCATTTACAGGCTGATTACTGTGTAGGAATTGAGAAGTACTTGGTTACCTCTTTGTTGAAGTGGGACCATCTTGTTCTGGTTCACACAGACACTCCAAGACATCACTGGTGGCTTCCAGGAACAGTTCCTTGTGCCAACTAGTTGGTGTTGGAGAATGAGGCCCTGAAGATTGAGGAGAAATCTCAGTTTAGTCTAAACTTGCACACTGGGCAGGTTGGTGCTAGCTATAGCTGGTGCCACATTAACAATGTGTCCTCATGGCAGTGGCAGGAACTAAACCAAACCAAAGCAATCTTGAAAAAGGGAAATGGTGAAATTTGGTTTCACTGGTCCTGCAGCTACAGGGTTGAGTTTGGGGAAGAGGGAATACAATGAGGCTGTTTTCACTTCCCTGATGTTTAGGAGGCTTCACACTGTACTGAAAAAGAAATTGTTCTTCCTCCAAGTTTGTCTTCAGAATTGAAAGCTATTGCATGAGCTCGGTGAGTGCTAATGCATTACTCACTCCTATTGCCAAGGTATTCATACTGACAAGGGTTTGGGATGTTATATTATTTAAGACAAATTACTGGCAAGATGAAAGGAAAAGTTAATGGAAGTTGTTTGCAATTAATCCTGCCAAGTCAATTGTCAAAAGACTGGTTAGGTTTGGGTTGAGACCACGTTCATTATTGACGTTTCCAGATTTCTTCATGAGCTATGTAATTTCTTTCTCCCCACACTTCTTGCTTTGTTTAGCTCCATCTCTCTGCTGTGGTACTGTATCTTTAATGGAGGGACAGTAGGATTATACCAAATGGACTTTCTCTCTCCGCTGGGGTTTCATTCCTCTCTACTTACACAAGGGTGTTGGACTGCACTGTTGTGCCACCCCAGTTTAATTAGGTTTTAAAGGTGAACAAAACCTCACACGCTGACATTAATGATACTGGTGACTAAGCAAACCACTCCAACCACATTTTCCATCATAGGCAGGATACTGAGGTTCATTTCAGCCAGGGCATATAATGCTTCTTGCCATGTCTATGTACCTTAGAGAGGGGATTTATTGTGAATGCGTGCTCATTTAGAAATATATTTTAATTGAAATGTTTAGTGCTTTATCTTACATACATACTGTGCAATACCATAGTGTGTTCTTTTCCTAATTTTTTTAAATTTTTTTCTAAGGACTTTTTTGAAATTGTTAATGTTTGTTTGAGTTCCGGTGTGTTTTTTGACTTGGATCGGTTCTGGTAGTACTAATGTCTTTTCCTTGCCCTGAGCTAACCAGAAGCAGCACATTGCACAACCAAAAAATCTTTGCAACTCGTGCACCCTCATGTTCACCAGCAATCTGGTACTTCTGGAAGGCAGGGAATGCTTCTCTCCAGAGTATCTAATTTGCACTTACTGGAAGGAATCGATAGCAACCCAGGGAAATAGGAATAAACTAGAGAGAAGAGCCCTCACTGCTCCCACGAAACTCCACAGTCATTTTGCCATCAGCTTTCAAAAGAACAGGCCTAAAAATTCAGCTACAGCCCTTGAGCAGCACAGGCTGGTGCTGTGTGTGGTGGGGCAGAGCGTGTGGCTCCCCAGAGGCTCTCTGAGCATTGGGCTCTGGGCTTGGGCTCACTCCCAGACTCTGCAATGAACTGTTGTAACATAGGACCCTGAGCACTGTGACAAAGGCTTCTAAAAGACAATCAGCTTCTGGAATGACTTCTCAATACAATTATTGGGAATCCATCCTCCTCCCCGTTTACAGCTCCTGTCTTACTCCAGATGACATTCCATGGGGGGTTTGGGGGTGTAGAGGTTAAACTACTCACAGAGTCTCTGTGATTTCTGGGTTTCCTGTGAAACCAAGTGATTCAAAGGTGCTATAATTGTTCACAATGTACATTCCCATCCACAGAAGGAAATGGTAACTTTTCCACTAGTTATTTTACACAGTATCTTTTTTATTTATATCGGTGTGTTTCGTATGTGTGCAAATGGTCTCAGCTTCTCTCATGGGAATCAGCTTTACAGCCATTTGGTCCTTTGTAGGGCAGCCATACACAGTATCTTGCAATCATGTGTAATTTCTTAACTTAGAGCGAGAATAAATCTCGTCTGACAGGATGAACTCATTTATGGCAGGCTCTAATGTTTGTTGTAAACACAACCTGTTTGTTCCACCTCTTGCATGGTTACTTATCTGTTTTCATATTGCTATGTTATTGTTCAAAGTATCTATTTCTCTTTATTTGCTATGGGGTTTGTTACTGTATATGGAATGTTTTGTATTCAGCATTTTCTTACGGAGCAGAGTGGGAACAGTATTCAAGGACCCACAAATACCAAAGACCTTTCATGTAATGCACTGAGAAATAAACTTACTGTAAATGAATATCATGTCAGGTGTTCTCTATTTACAAAGTTCAGAGCAAGTTCAAGCAAACTGCAACCTGAAATCAGGACAGCTGATTTTCCTTCCTGCTATGTGTTTTAGCTGGTTGTATGCTTGCAGGTCTCTCAAAAAAACAAGATGAACATGAAGGCTCTGCTTCTGGGCACCTTCCATGGGCTGGAGGGGCCTTCATTGCCTAAAGCCAAACTTCACAGATTCCTGGCCCTCAACAGGACTGGCTCTGCTGCAGATGTTGGCTATGCTGCTCCAGCAAGCACCACAGTCATTGCCCAGGTTTGAGATCTGTCTCTGGGACACAGTCACCTCTCTGCATTCCCATCCACACAAACCAAACACAGGGGCACGTCCTGCCCTCGTGGTGCAGCATTTAGTTCTTAAAGCATCCTAGGTGAGCCTTCAGGTAATGTCACCTTTGAGCATCTTGCTTTGCATTGCAGAGCAAGGCACAACCTGGACCTGGC